TTCCCTTAGAACCCCTTGAGTGTAGGGTTCCTTTGGCCCCTCTTTCGTGCCAAAGACTCGTATTTTGTTTATTAGTATTGGACGGAAACAAATAGTTTAACATGGCAATTTTTTTTCCCTTTAATATTGTTTCACAATCAATTTACTTAGTCAAACGCATTCCGTTCAAAATTTTTATCATTAGTAAAAATAATTTTGACGAATATATTTGAAAAAATAAGCAGCTTTTAAGCAAATCAATCAGTACAACACAACCACACATTATAATGCAGAGTGAGTTTGAAAAGCATTTATTTTACTTTAACATGAGATGGAAAACTTGAATTAAAGTGTGGGAACAGCCATACTTCTTCTAGAGGTTCTTGTTATCATCTCCACCTGTTTCCTGAAAACAAGGGGCAAATCTTTTCGTGTCCGACTCTACAACTTTTACTTTGTTACATTATTCATTTTGGTTGGTACCAAGTGTCAAACGTACCTTCACTAGACGAGGCTATTAAGGGTAATTTACAACTTTTATTTCCTTTTTATTTTTATTTTGTTTCAGTAAAATTAAAGTATTTCTTATTTTTAATAGTTTATATAGAGCTATTTTGTTATATTAATAGAAGTAGAATCAAGGTTGAATTTTTTTTTTTTTAATTCATAAAACTTAAAGACTCTTGACTTGCTTAATTTGATTAAAATATTCATTTCTATTCCAATGAAATCCAATGAAGTCATTCTATACTCTCTTTTTTTTTTTTTTGGTTATCGTGATTATTCCGTCCTTATTTGATAGAGATTCTTTAAAATTTATTTTGAACTATGTATTAATCAATAGAATAGTCTTGAGCGTGAATCCATAACTTTTCATACCGTTTAATTACACATTCTCCAATTTTATTTTGTTTCCTCAAAACTTATTCTCACATAATCTATATCAAACAATTTCTCGCACTCAAATTAACAAATTTGTTTATATTTTTTATGAGATGATTAGACATGAAGAATTAAATCAAGTTTCAAATGATATTTTGCAGAAAATCAAATCAAATCAAATCCCAAAGGGAATCAAATAAGAGTGAGTTCTAGGTAGCTAGGCCAATCTTTCTATCCTTAAGTCGAAGGTCTTGGCGAAAGATGACTGATTGAACCCAACCCCACCTTATAGTGGTGCAATAAAATGGAAGACCCACGTATCAAACACAATGGGGCTTTTTTCTTTGTTCTCTTTCCTTGGTGGATACCACACAACAAATTTCTTCATCCTATGCTAAGAGATGTTCTTGACCTTGGTGGTTTACTTGTCAAAATCACCTTGCTTATCTTTTAGAGTGTGTCCAAACGCGCGTGCAACACGATCATTCTCGTGCAGTATAAGTTTTTAGATGAGATTTTTATAATGATATTAGAACTAAAAAAAATATTTGAGTTAAGATCTCGTTGCTAAGTTTTTAGAGAGATGTCTATAGATTTACAAAAATCAAGTAAAAAGACTTAGAAAATAGTCTATTTCTACCATTGAGATGAATCTATTTTACAGGTGGAGGTATGTCCTGAAAATAATAATGAATATATATTTTAGCCTACAACAATCTAAACTTTTCAATGAGATGATTAAGAGAATTATCTCATCTAGAAGTTAAATTCGTAAACGTAAAACGAATTTTTTCACTACAAGTATGTTTTCAACACGTTCATCACATACATGTTAAGTAGTTAAAAGTTTGACCTATAAAATTTTCCGAAATGCGAATAGTGAAATTTAAATACTTATTTTTGTTTAATCTGATAAAGTCACAGTGTGAAACTTTATATATTTGTGCAAGTGTATAAAAAAAACTAATGGATTCAAGCTAATGGCATCAACCAACTTTCATTACTATCAAAATCATGATTTAAGGTTGTTAAGAAAGGAATAAATTTATGATTAGCTTATTAATCATGAATGAGGTCTCACATCAAATTCATATTAATTAAAGAATACAATAATATTGATGAGCATGTGGGTGTCTCTCTAACACAAAGCAACGTTTGTTTAACCATAATCATTCTTTTTGTCCCCCCATGAGAAAATTGTAATAACTCTTATTATTATTATTTTTATGACGGGGGAACCCGCAGCTGCTATTTTTCGGGTACGCATTGGATAAACCCTCGGGTTAGCGCAATAGCCTACAAATCACGACAACCAGATAAACCGCACTAGGCATATCCTGTACGACATGCTCGACCGAGAAAGTGTTGGTAGGGGGAATCGAACTCGTGACCAAAGGTCTTCGCGCTCACCTACTCTAATAACTCTTATTTTAAATGGCATCCACGACTGTGAAAATATTGAATTGATGTGATATTCATAAAAATATAAAATTTGATATTTTAATATATATTATTAGTTAGTATTTTTTTGGTAAAAAGAAGTCATGTTAACATCTTACAAATATTTAATCAATAAGTGGCAAAACTACTGATAGTCTTCAATGTGAATAGCATTATTTCAATAGTATATTCATTTTTTTGAATTTTTTTTAAGCAAAATTCTTTATTAGTTAAAATTGAATTTCGATGAATCAACTATATTATTAGATTTCTTATAATTTTTGCATTTTTTTTCAAAACATTTGTAAATATTTAATGTAAATTTCAAACTGAAAATATTTGAGCAAGTAATTAAAGGCAGTCCTACAAGAGCATATAATCTTATGAATTAGTCATGTCTCCTTTACCTAATCTTGCTTTATGATTGGCGTGTTACTTGAAGATTTCATATGGTTGCCAGTGCAACATAAGCTGGATTCAATTTACTTTCACACCTAAAAACAATTATTTGTAAATCAGACTGTGTCGATCTAGCCTGAGTTTGAGATAGTATGTTTTTAAAAATTCAGTCATAATTATTAGAGCCAGGAATCAGGTATGTCCATCAATGTAACTCAAGGTGGATTCATTTGTGCAGGCTTCTTAGGTTCGAAAGAAATACCCTTTCTAGAATCTTAGTGAGTTAGCGTGCTTATTCTCTTAGTACCGTATATTCACGGTATAAGCAAACTAGACTAGACAAAAGTAAATAGATAAGTTGACGAATGCTTTTAACGAGGCATTAATTTGAGGATTTTAAAGTAAGATTGTCACTTCTTTATGTACTTAATTTTACTTAAAATGTAGAAAATAATATAGATATGGCGAAGATGCAAGGGAATCGTTGATTCATCAATCTTCCTCATTTCTTACACTCATGCTACATCACAATGTAATTGGTAAAATCAAACCCTTCATCTAGGTTTAGATAGGCACCTAAAAATTCCCATCAAGACATAGATTGATTTAAAAAGGGATTGACGGAATGGATCAAATGTGTAAATAGTCGAGATAGTACAAAGTATCTCAATAAGGATGAATTTGAGAAATATGTCATACTTTACAGATGCTTCATAGTATTTACGAGAAATTCATGATAAGAGCATATATGTTTCTCTCCAGATTTGGTACCGGCTTTCATGATTATTGTATCATATAAGCTCCTTTTTTTTTTTTTTTTAATTACGGTTGTAAATTGACAATTAAGACAAGATTGAGCAAGGTAACCACGAATATTAGATAACCTTATGAAAATGCACGTATTTGTAATTATAATTTTACACATGGAGAATTCCCCTATATCTTGTTTATTCGCAGTAAAATATTTTCTTTTTACTTCAATAGAAAAACAATATCCTGATAGGGGGTGTTGGACAAATGTGTCTTCTTCACTTGTAAATAAAAAATCCATATAAAGTAGAATTAATTTATTTTTAAGGATCTATCAATAAATTTTGAAGTCTAAAACTATGCCATGCCCTTTTCATCCCAAACTTCTTGATAAGGCTAAACTAATGAGAAAATTGCAATAATGGTCCCTAATATTTTCATTTTTTGAAGACTTTACCTTAATCTTCATTTTGTGCCAATAGAGGTTCCTAACCTTTCATAAATATGCACCTGAGGTTCATTTAGATGGAAACCGTTCAAAACACCGTCAGTTGATTGAGAAAATTAAGGAATCAACATCCAATAAAACCATAGAGGTAGCAGATAGTTCAAGAAATTTTCCCAATTAACAGATGGTGTTTTGGAAGGTTTCCGTTCAAATAAATCTCAGTTGCATATTTATAAAAGGTTAAGGACCTTCACTGGTACAAAATGAATGTTAAGGTAAAGTCTGCCAAAAACGAAAAGGTTAGGGACCACTGCTGCAATTTTTCCTAAACTAATTGACGAATGTTACCAAAATATTGATGTGAATGGACTTATAGCACTTTAACCTCATCGTCTTTCCTCAATCTTATGACAGGACCAAATTTATATCATAACGAAATTAGCATTTTAATGAATTTAAAACTTGAAGAAACATCATACATACTAAATAAAAACCCCTAAATATATGTTTTTCATGCAAGAAAATCATGGATATATTGCAAGAAGGTTTTTAGTATTAGAAAAACCTTGACATTATTGATACAGTGTCACGTATACTTCAAGAATAATAAAATTTGTATAGCATTGTGTCAAACATTGTTATGATACTCGGAAGCTCAAATGCCTACTTGATAGCTTTAACAAAGTCTCTAGCAATATAGGGACGAGGATGCACAAGAAGAGAAAATTTGAAATCGAGAAAAGTAGAACTTGAGCGGATGGTGGAATGGGATTAGGAGAAGGGGGTGACATTAAAAATGATAACCATGTTTTAGAAATCGAATCAAACAAAACTCGGCCTTGTCACTTCAACAATTTTTTTTTTTTTTAAATAATTGATTCGACCTTTACATTATTGACAAGTTCTTGTAAAATATGGACTAAAAAGTCTAATAAGTGAGGTCAACTCCGTCATTAGAGTTAATCAAGAATGAAACAGGGGTGTAATTAAGGGATTATTAAACGAGAATAATCAAAAAGCCAAACACGCCTGAACATTTCACGCTTTATCTAATCTAACCACCTTCAGTTCATCTTATGTCGGCTTGTTCTCTTGCATTTTACAAAAACCCACAACATTTCAACTGTTTAAAACTTACCATAGACAGTAAATTCTTTAAATAATGCTCTGTTATTGTTGCGAAATCTTATAATAATGATTTGTTATTGGTGCAATTGAAATGTAAGCACTCTTTACTATATATATTATATACTATAAAGAAGCTCCGCTCTCATTTGCATCAAATTTTCCGGCGAGTTCTAAGATTCCTCCCCACCCCACCATCTTGATCTTGGTTTCTACACCCCGCTTGAGAATTTTCTTGCCACCTTTTTCTCTATTATAGGCCGCTATATGCTTCCATTTTTAGTAATCTGGTTTTCTTTTTAGTATTCAGGTTTCGAGTTTTTAGGCGGTGCAATTGTATGATCATTTCCTCAAGAAGCTGAGATTTGAGGGGTCTGCTTGCGTTATAGGTCTGTTCTTTTACTTGAGTCCTGTGATATATGTAGTCTCAGTTGGGAAACTTTTGAGTTTGGAGGATTTTTTTATTTTTCGAAATAATGTCAAAAAGATTCAATATTGGGATTTGATAGAGAAATGGAGTAAAGAGTTTTCACAGGTTTTTAAGGTGAAGTCTACAGAATAAAGATTTTGTTTAATTTATTTGAGTTTTCCAAGTTGGAAAATTTGTGGGATGGTAATGAAACAAACTGCCTATTTAGTTTCATCGAGGAATACAGTATGGGGATTGACATTCGATGATAATTATGAATTGGGTTCTGTGAGAAAATTAAGGAATTTTTCTGGGATTTGTGGAGGCATTAGCGATGAACAGTTTGCAATTGGAAATATCTGATTGGTGAAAAATTAGTTTATGTGGTTCCAAAGGAAGAAAATTCAAAAAAAGAAGAAGTTCAATTCTGGTGAAGATATAGTCTATGAGTTTTGCTAAAATGAAGGTTCCTTCCAATGGATATATGGCCAATACGGGAGAAGGTTTGTTAACTTTCATCCTTTAAAATTATACTTCTTGTTCTTTGCTGTTTGATTTCAGATACCATTTCTCAACTTTTTATACCATAGTGAAAAGCTTTTGTTCTCTGCCAATTCATAATTTTGGGCAAGTTCAAGAGCTTGAGGTTTTAATATTCTCGATACAGTATGAGAATGAACTTGCTATTCATTTATTCGTTTTACATATTCAGGAAAGGGACGCTAAAGATTGAAAATGTGAATTTATTGTTGTGCGATTCTTTGTTTGTTTAATACATTTTCTTGGTCTGTATGTAGAATTCTAACTTTTATTCTGTGTGATTTTTTGTATTTATAAGCTATTACTCGAATTAGTAATAGGTGGCATTGTTTGTAGATTAACAGACTTTCTTTGAGAAAAGCATAAATTTGTTATTGCTTTATATTCAGTTCTGTATGTGATTTTCTCCTGCAATTCAATGCTTTCAATCTACTTTCTTTGAGATCTTAAAGGCAGAAATTTGTTATTGCTTTATATTCGATTCTTTATTTGATTTTCTCCTGCAACTCAATGCTTTCTTAATGAATGGTCCTTTACCATTGTTGTCAGTGATGTGTACCGAACTCTTCGTCATTCTTGATTTTTTTTCCCCGCTTTTTTTTGCCCCAAGTTTACGTATATATAGTATTCTAGTCGTAAAATTTATCGGTTTTCAATGTCAATTGAAGATCGTCAGTTCCGTAATCAGTGTCAAAATTTTCCCCTTTGAATAGATTATCTAAACCTTCCCTTTTCTTATGGATGTTGCTTTTTTAGTTTAAGGCTTTCTTTTTTTCTTTTTGTGTTGTATGGAGTGTTTTTGAAGCACTTCGTAATACCATTTGCTGATGATAATGATATCTTAGAAAAATGATAAATTGGAAACAGGAATTCAATAACCGGGGATCTAGTGGGAAGTAGGATCCATGTGTTTTGTCTAAGTCAATTGCAGCACTAAACTGTGAGCTTGCTGGCACTTTGTACCTTTTAATGATTCATCATAAGCCCACGAGCTGATATCTACTGTCCGAATTTTATTATCCTCTTGCCTGGCATCAATCTTTACTGCTGGGGAATTCTGATTATGTGACTACCTTTTCTGTTGCTAAGTTGCTTGTCCTCTGCGTAACTTCCAACTTCACCATAAAATCTTCTCTTGCAGTCCTATTTTGCAGTTTATGCTTAATTCGAAATTGATTGATAGAGAAAATAACTTAGTGGACCAGCCTCGATATTGGAAAATATACATTTAACAGTTGGAGAATGTATTTTTAATATCAATAAAAAATCCTTTTATAGCAAATCTTACATGATAGAAATTCCTTTTGTAGCCATTTGAAATTGCAGGTTTCATAATCTTATGTCATTTTTGAAGTTTCAACTTTCGTGTAATAAAGTTTCCATTTTAATTGGAACAGGAGGGGAAAATGTGATTAATTCAGAGTTATGGCATGCTTGTGCCGGACCATTGGTTTCTTTGCCTCCTGTTGGAAGTCTCGTCGTCTATTTTCCTCAAGGTCATAGTGAACAAGTATGTCCTTTCTCTCCATTTCAAGTTATAACGCAACTTTTAATATTCAATATCTGATAGATATACATCTACTGTTGGTAGGTGGCAGCGTCAATGCATAAGGAGGCTGAGAGCATCCCAAGTTATCCAAACCTTCCTTCAAAGTTGATTTGCATGCTGCATAATGTCACCTTACATGTACAACCGCCTCCATAGTTGTACAGAAAACTTTAAACATTATATGTTAAATTTTTTTCCTTTTTTTTCTGTGTTGCCACTCATTGTTGTCTGCGTTTTCCTTCCTTCTCCTTGGCCTTTTATACCAGAAAAGTACTTGATGATGGTCAATTTGTTCTATCCACACTGTAAATCAGTATCAGTGACGATGAAGTTGCGTGCAATATTGGTGCAACTAAAGCATGTTTGGCCAAGTTTTAAAGATTTACTTATACGCAAAAAACTAGGTTCAAAATAAATGAATTTTTTTTTTTTTTTTTTGGTCTGGTCATAGTTGAAAATAAGCAAGAGTTTCTCCCAAAATAAGTAACCTTTTTACTTAAAGTAACATTTGTAGAGCATGTTTGGTGGTTCTTAAAATGTACTTGTAGTTGTCTATAAAGTAAGTTAAGCAAGTTTTGTTAGTGAAGAAACATTAACTCTGAAAATCCTATTCGGTAAAATAAGTAATTGAAAAGTAAGTTTAGTTTACTTTCATGCAAACATGCATATTTGGAATGAAATTAGTTAAATGAATACTTATAAAAAAATTTAGCTAAGCCAAACATGATAAAGAGCAACTATATGTGTTTGGATACTAGCCAAACCTCAACATTTTATAATTAATTTTCTTCTATTTACTTATTTATTTTGATCAGGCTGATGCTGAAACCGATGAAGTCTATGCTCAGATGACTCTTCAACCTGTAAGCAATGCAAGTCAGGTATTAAATTTGAGAATTTATTTACATAACAATACTTTATAGGAAAAAATGTGGTACAGCATGATAACTTATCTGAAGAAGCATTGAATTTATCATCCTACAGTACGACCAGGAAGCGCTACTTTTATCTGAGATGGGACTTAAGCAAAGCAGGCAACCTTCTGAGTTCTTCTGCAAGACTCTTACAGCAAGTGATACGAGTACGCACGGCGGTTTCTCCGTACCTCGTCGAGCAGCCGAGAAGATCTTTCCTTCTCTGGTTTGTGTTAAGCATTTGACATTTCCGCATAAATTGAGATAACAAAATTGTCAGCATGTCTGGCTGTGCTTTTACTTTTCTTGGAAGTATGCAGTATAAACATACTTCACTAAAAAGGAGCTTAAAAGCTGATATAAGTACAGCCAAACCTGCTCGAATTCAGCTCATTCTGCTACTTACCTGGAAAATTTCTTGCAGGATTTTTCGATGCAGCCTCCTGCTCAGGAGCTAGTGGCTAAAGATTTGCATGACCAATCATGGACATTCAGACATATATATAGGGGTATTTGTTTCTAGAATGTATATCCTTTGGTACTGTATTTGTTTTAAAATTCTCAAGGATGTATCAAGAAAAAGATATTAACTCTACTCTATTAGAATCCTCTCTTCCTGAATATTACTTCTAGATAGACTACACAGAAAATTGTAAATACATCTTGGAAAAAATTAGAATCAAACATGCTCCTTTGATTATATATTCGTTCAATGTTAATTTGTCATGAAATTATGATTCTGAGAAATGGTTTGCTATGCCCTTTATGTAAATTATTATTTTTATCAATTAAGGACGCTATAAGTCAATTTGATTTTACTTGCGAGTATTCCATATGCAAATATACATTACTTCATAAATATTTCGAGTTCATTTGATGGTTACAGTTAGATTTGTACCATTTCTGCATGTAAACCTCTAGATTTGGTTACTTTTTCTTTTTGCTCACTTTACACAAGACTAGATTCCTGGAATATCTCATCGGGATACACTCTCTTTGGAGCCACCTAATAACGCTACTGAGAAATATTTCATCTTAATTATTGGGAATAAAACTTAATTTTTGTTGTTGTAGTTCTGACCTGTTCATGATCATCAATCATAGTTTGGAACATAAAGTTAAAGTCTACTTGTGCTTGATTCCAGGTCAACCCAAAAGGCACCTGTTGACAACTGGATGGAGTGTATTTGTTAGCTCTAAAAGACTTACGGCAGGCGATTCTGTCCTTTTCATAAGGTACGGAATATTTGAATTAAAAGCATAGTTGGTTAAGCTTAACTGAACATGTTTGGAAACAAAAAAGTGAGTTTCACTTGTTTTTAAGCTTAGCCAAACATTCTCTCTGTTTGTGCTTAGCGTTATCCTTGTCACTGAACTGCAAAAGTGTGATATAGAGACGAAAAGTCACATCTTCTCTTGGGTATAAGACATGCTACCAGACAGCAGCCTGCTATCTCCTCGTCTGTCATATCTAGTGACAGCATGCACATGGGAGTTCTTGCAGCTGCAGCTCATGCGGCTGGGAACAACAGCCCATTTAAGATATTCTACAACCCAAGGTAGTCGAACTAATACCTTTTTCAACTGTTAAAGTACACTGGATTAACTTTGTGAAAATTTTTGATTCCCTGATGAAACCTAAACTATTACAGGGCTAGCCCTTCTGAATTTGTTATTCCTCTTGCAAAGTATAACAAAGGAATGTATACCCAAGTTTCATTAGGTATGCGTTTCAGGATGATGTTTGAGACTGAGGAATCCGGAGTCCGCAGGTACATGGGTACCATTACTGGCATTGGTGATTTGGACCCAGTGCGATGGACAAATTCACAGTGGCGTAACCTTCAGGTACTGGTTTTCTCTTTTCATTTTGCTGAAAGTCTTCAACATTTATCTTTAGTGTGTATGATCATGAACATTTAGAACTTCGTGATCGCTGTTCTACTCTCTTGGAAACTAAATTTTTCCACTGCCCACCTAGGATATAACTCGACTGGTTGGTAAATATGTTGTCTATAATCAGTTTTTAGGCTAGCTTCTCTCAGTTTACCATGCTAAAAGCTGCATCTCATTTTTGGTTTTGGCTTTTCTCCAAATATGTGCATTGTATCTTTCCAATTTATATGTTTTCCTCTGCCGTAATTGACCTTCATTAATTTCTAATCATGGTTTAGATGTATCCAAAAGATTTATCCTTGATATATTCTACTACAAACGTCTTTTCCTCGAAACTTATTCGATTTCTAGATCTCATAATCAATTATCATTACTTTCGTTAGGTTGGATGGGATGAATCTACTGCTGGGGAACGTCCTAGTCGAGTATCAATTTGGGAAATCGAACCTATTGTGACTCCCTTCTATATTTGTCCACCACCATTTTTCAGACCTAAGTTTTCGAAACAACCAGGTTTCCCAGGTAATCCAAGTTGACCACTTATCTATCTTTTATTATTCTGGGATGTCAAACAGCTATAAGTTACAAATTTGTATTAGTTTTATTTGGTGTGTTTGTGGGAGACTGAATGTGTCCATAAGTTTTTGTTGAAATTGCAATAATTTGTTGCAAATGTTCAAATTTTCCTCAAACTCGTGTTTTTACAGATGATGATTCCGATATAGAGAATATTTTCAAGAGAGGCATGCCCTTGATTGGAGAGGACTATGGTTTAAAAGATACCTCAAGCTTCATATTCCCCGGGATGAGTTTAGTTCAGTGGATGAACATGCAGCAGAATCAACAGTTCACAGCTAATCAGTCTGGACTTTTCCCGGACGGGCTCTCTTCAACTAACCTACACGGTAACCTTGGAACTGACGACTGCTCCAAGCTGTTGAATTTCCAATCCCCGGCCTTTGCTTCCCAAAATCTCCAACTCAGCAAAATCAATCAACAAGTTGGACAACTTCAACAGCAGCCGTCTTCTGCGTGGCCCCAACAGCAGCCGCTGCAGCAAATGTTAACGTCTTCTATAAACCCTATAAATAATGGTGTAGCTCCTGACCAGAATCCATATCAAAATTCACAGCAAACAGCAATTATCTCCCAACAACTTCAGCAACAACAGTTACTAAGAGGCAATACACAAATGCAGCAAAATGTTCCCTCAGCAAACAAAAGTACAGTACCCATGATATCTTTACCTCAGGACACTCAGTTTCAGCAACATATTGAACAACCATCTAGCCTTGTGCAGAGGCCCCAGCAACAGCAGACAGAAATGCAACAAACTCGGCCACAATTTCCGCAGCCAATCTCAATACAAAAGCCACAAGGGAAACAGACATCACAACAGAGTATTTCGGAACATCAGCTGCAAATGCAGATTCTCCAGAAACATCAGCAGCAACAGCAGCTGCAACAGGTGCCGTCCCCTGTAAGTTCTTTTTTGGAGCCTCCGTTTTCCCAACAACAACAGGCTCTTCAACAAAACCAGCAAGCTCAGCATTTCAGCAGCACCGGCTTTTCAGCATCAACACTTGTGCAATCACCACAATTTCCTGTCAACCAACTCTACAGCCAGCAAAAGTCTACGTTCACTGTCAAATCACATTCCGAACCAGCTGATGCGGCTGGCCCATCATGTTCAACCGCACCTTGTACAAACAATATGCAAGCTTCGCTGTCGAACTTTCTGAACAGAAATCAATTGGGATCAGCTGCATTACTTGATAATTCGGTTATTCATCCTGTTCCTAGTTTAGCTCCAGAGTCTCATAGCAAGGCTGATATCCTAATAAAAAGTGATTTACCTAGTTATAAAGGACCGAAGCAGCCTAAATACCGAAATACAGCTAAAGATCACTTGGATGCAGCTTCAAGCGCAACATCGTATTGCTTGGATGCTAGTGGGCGGCAGAACTTTTCTCTTGCTGGCTTGGATGGTGACATTCAATCACATCCCCAGAGCAGTCTTCCTTTCACAAGCAGTATTGATGGATTGACACCTGATGCTTTGTTGTCAAGGGGTTGTGATTCCGGGAAGGATATCCAAAACTTGCTCTCTAATTACAGTGGTAATCCAAGGGATAATGAAACAGAATTTTGCTCTGCTGGAATCAATTCTCAAACATTTGGGTTGCCAAAGATGTCATTTAACGCCAGTTGTTCAAATGATGCTGGGATCAATGAGGCTGGTGTTTTAAATAGTGGGTTGTGGCCAAACCAGATTCAGCGTATGCGAACATACACAAAGGTCTCTCTCTCTCTCTCTCTCTCTCTCAAACACACTGTTACACACACACACACACTCTTCAAACTGGTCACCTGCCAAGTTCCCCCGCCACAAAAATAGAAAAATGAAAAAAAATTACAGCATAATAGAATCCATCTACATTCTCTTTGAGAACACTTACACGAAGGAACCGTAATATGAAATAAATTTTATCTAATTTCTTTCCCTCTTCGTTTGGAGACAGCCTGATTACTAGAAATTATGCAGGTTCAAAAACGTGGCTCTGTGGGTAGAACTATTGATGTCACTCGTTACAAGGGGTACGATGAACTTAGGCATGATCTAGCCCGTATGTTTGGTATCAATGGACTACTTGAAGATCCACAACGATCTGAATGGAAACTTGTCTACGTAGACCATGAAAATGACATGTTACTTGTTGGCGATGACGCTTGGGAGTAAGTGTTTAGCAACTGTCCTTGTTATCTTAGTTTTTCGTTGAAAGAACACAAAAATAACTTTGAAAATTTTTCTCAGTGAGTTTGTGAGCTGCGTTCAGAGTATAAAGATACTGTCCTCTGCTGAGGTACAACAAATGAGTTTAGATGGAGATTTAGCTCAGCCTCCTGCCCCAAACCAAGCATTCAGTGGAACAGACAGTGGTAATGCTTGGAGAGGACAGTATGATGATAATTCTGCCAACTCTTTTAATCGGTGAAAGCATTGCAGAGATTAACTTTTATCAGCAGGAAATGTTAGAATGTAGATGTAAATTTCTTGTACCATCGAATGTTAAAAAGCTTGTCTGAAATTTTTTGAAGTGCTTGTGCATTCTTGTAGAAGAATCAAGAAAACTATATATACTTGACGAAACAAACAATTTTTTATTCAACTTTAAAAAAGGGAAAATTCAGTCCAGTGCCATCATTTTCATTCCTAAATGGATGCATCTCCATATTCTTTGCACTAAATTACGCTAAACTGACAGTTCAAGAAAATATTCATTTAGGACTGGAATTCTTTTGTGAGATATCAGAAACTGGAAAATAAGGACACAGACAAGCAGCTCTTTAAACGACTACAAAGAACAACAAATGGTTCTCGAACTGAAAAATCATTACACTTTGATTTCTTTCATTACGCTGCAAAAAGTCGTCATATTGATCCGGATTACAACAAATTTCTCAAGTTTCGCTTTTGCTGAACCAACTAAGAAAGGACAGCCATGACCTCTGAAGCCCTTAGTGCTATGTAGTTAGAACCGTCACTGCCCTTGAAATCGTTTCCTGCATATTTGGAGTACAAAACTGTGTTCCCGGGGATAACTGACAATGGCTTCCTGTTACCTTCCTCATCAAGGGGGCCAGGCCCGACTGCAATCACCTGTAATTGAAGATGGAAAATACTGAGCATTTTGAAGGGATAATTGAACAGAGGGTGGGACACTGCAAAAGTTTGCATGCTGACATTCTCCGATCAAAAACACTTGTTAACTAGAGATATTACTTACCGTGCCAATTGAGGGTTTCTCCTTGCTTGCCTCTGTTAGCAACAAGCCTCCAGAAGTTACCTCTTCAGCCTCAGCTACCTGAGTAAGAATTGTTGGGGGAAAAAAGAAAAGAAAGAATTATAAATGAAATGAGCAAACGGAAAAGCACAGAAGCAACCAACTATTTTGAGAAGAATATATGAGGAAATTGTGTTCATGGACAGGTTCATGACCAGAAAGGTTCTGCACAACTTCATCGATATAGCCACCAATGACACATTAGGTATATGCTCATATCACCTTTCCAGGAAAAATATCACCTCTCCAACTTCAGTTTTAGCAAATTCTATCAAAGCTTAATAATTGCAGTGTGTATATGAAGATAAGTCTGAATATCAGTCCCCAACACAATGCACAAAACTGAATCATAACTAACTAAACCATCAACAAACCTTAATGAGAACTCCGTCATTCAGGGGCTTCATATCCTTAACGTCATCAGTATCAAGGATTCCAACAATATCGTCCTCCTTCAAAATGAGGTGATTTGATCCATTGAACTCGACTTCTGTCCCTGCATATTTGGAGTACACCACTTGGGTGCCAGTCTAGAGGGGGGATATCAATCAGTTAGTAAACGCAATCATTTAAAGAGACAACACAACCTGGAAAGCATTAGACTGGTATTACCTTCACGCTAATGTCCACCTTGTTCTTTCCAATTGTACGACCCTCTCCAATGGCAACTACTTCACCTCCCTGGGGTTTTGTCTGCGCTGTTGTTGGTAGCAAGATACCACCTGTTGTCTTCTCCTCTGCAGTCTTAATCTTCACTAGAACTCTATCACCCAAGGGTTTGAGTGCAGTGTACTGAGGGATCAGAAAGAAAATACAGTAAACAATAAAGAAGAGAATCGCGTATACAACAAATATGAATTAAATTTTGCGCAAAGAAAAGAGCATTGATATTAATTCACATATTCCAGTTCCAGATGAAGGTGCATCTCAACCAAGATTTAAACTAAGTGAACAATCATATGGATCAGCTATAATAATTAGCATAGTCGTGGCCTCTAATTTCAGTGATATAAATTGCCTGCACACACCAACACCTCTTATCTCATTTAGGCAAATGCAATACAGTCGTAAAGTTAATGAAGCTGTAGAGATGAAAGAACAGAAAAGTAAGAGCATCTCTAACCCCATCCACATTGCACCTTAATTCGCCAAATTGTACCAAATTTTTGGTGCAAATCTCCTACAACCCATTGCACCATTTTGCATCAAAATGGTCAAAAACATTTTTACCCTTCTCTTCCACTTTGCACCAATTTTTTTAAGGGTGTATTTGTCCATTTGTTATACAATAAATTTTAATTCTAAATTTAATTATCATTACTATTACCATCACAATTCCTACAAGTAGTAGTAGTAGTGGTATTATTATGTGCATTTGTAATAAATTTTAATCATTTAATCAATAATAATTAATTTTTAATACTATTTCAACTTCATGATATCGTGATATTGCGATTCAAAGCATATTGCACTCTTTTTTAGCATTATGATATTAATATATTCGTAGTCGTATTTCTATTAATTGTACTACATTTCTTAAATTTATTAATAAATTCAATATTTTTGTTAACTAAGCATAATTATTTATTTAATAATTTATGTAGTGATAAAATAAATTAATAAATATTTAATTTTTTAGAAAAATAAATTGTTAAGAATTAAAAAAGAAGAAAATTATTAAACAATATTCATTTGCCGCAGCTTTCCGTATAATGAGTTGGAGATGATTTTCTGTTTCGTGCAGGGTTGGAGGTGGCCTAAGAAGCAATGTAAGACGAATCTGGCAAGTAATATAATGAAATCATGCGATAAAATCCTACACTATTACCTTCAATCGATTCATTATCAATCTAATAATGCAGTTTTCATTTTTAAAAATTACAATTTTTGTGATTAAAAGCGGTCATCTAACAGTATTGGCATATATCAATTCCAGAGCTAACAAACAAAAAGAACTATGTTTCTTGAATCAGTAAGAAATTGACTAGCAGCAAACATGAACCGAAAATTAAGGAAACAACAAATTTCCTGCATTAGAGAAAGGGAAATTCAACTATGAATTGAATACCAACCTTAGGGGCAACAACAGTGGCAGCCTTAACAGTAAGTCCGCGGAATGACCTGAGGGAGAGACCATTTTGCTTAAGAGGTGAAAAGGATGAGATTTTTACAGAATTTTGCCGCAGCCCTTCAAATGATGCAAACCCTTTCACTGAAACTGTAGATGCTGTCAACTGTGTTGCTGCCATTTCTTTCAAAAATCAAGAAAAAAGATCCAATCAAATTAATCAACTAAGCCGAAAAACACAATGCATAATAGTATACCTGAAATGGGAGAAAGTAGAGAGTACCTTATGGTTCAAATGAGTTTAGTGTGAGAAAATTCGTTTGGTGGGTGTAATAAAAGAGATAACAAAACCCTAGAAACTTCTGAATTTGTTTATAGAAGGGATTTTATGCAAAGGATAAGAGGGTTCTAGAATATTTTGGTAGTGCTACATTGGTAGTTAGGGATTTCAGAGAAATCCTCTCTCTTTTGGGCTTTATGTTTTGTCAAAGGAAAATCTTACAAATAGCACAGATTTGGAGGTTTTCTTTTGGGCTTTATGTTGCACAAAGAAAAAAAAGGAGAATAAAAGATGTTACGATATTTGCATTTTGACAAAAATGTTGTTGTCCCTCTGTAATAATTTAACTACAAAAACAAAGTTCTCAACCACAAATTATAAAGCCAAAATGATTATAATATGTACATAAGGATAATTTTTAACATCAAGCACGGATCCACAAGGTTTAATGCTCACATTTTACCCAACAATCGGTCTCAAGGATGCTGCCTAGTTTCCCTCCCAACACAGAGATACAACCGTCAAGAGAGCAAGAGAACAGTTGAAAAAACAAAGACAATCACATGAAGAATCAGAATAAGCAACTGAGAGACAAAAAAAGAGGCCGAGAGAAAGATATCTAGAGAGAAAATGGGATTGGAGTGAAATAAATATCTTGGTTATATGATGGTCCATGACCATTGATAGAGATTTGAGCCGAGTCACAATTAATCATCAAGAATAAAATAGATCATTTGAAGCAACTTCAGAAGTTATTACACTTCTAAGTTACAACTCTCACTTGGGCCGATTGTGCCTTATAAACTCTTCAAATTTGGGTCAAATGTCTCTCAGTTGCTTATTCTGATTCTTCGTGTGTGTGTGTGTGGACATCGTTTACCTAAGATTATGTGCCAAAAAATATTTTGTAAAGAAAAACCACGCTTGGATGGGACGGGGACAAAAATTGACTGCCTATAGATACACCCCAAACGGTGTCAAGTATGGTTAATGACTTTTTTTCTCGAAATTATTAATTTCGCACTGCTCTTTCTTCGTGTGTGTGTGTGTGGACATCGTTTACCTAAGATTATGTGCCAAAAAATATTTTGTAAAGAAAAACCACGCTTGGATGGGACGGGGACAAAAATTGACTGCCTATAGATACACCCCAAACGGTGTCAAGTATGGTTAATGACTTTTTTTCTCGAAATTATTAATTTCGCACTGCTCTTTTACATTTACATTACCTTTTCTTTTCATCTACTTATCCTCATGTTTGTGATCAAATGGGGAAATGGCCTCAGCATCTTTTTGTAAACAGCTAGATTGCAAAACTAACGGCACCACCTAGTTCGCTAAAGAAGATGAAGAGCCATGTCAGAATGATTTTGAAAGGCATTGCAGAACAGTGCAAAAGTCTCTTTAAGAGTTAAGAGTAGATTAAAGAGTGATACTTAGGGTACATAATGAACACCATTATGGTGTCCATTATGTTCAAGAAGAATAATCCGTTGATTAAAAAGATGAAAGAAAATAATTCTAAAAAGGTCCAAATAAATGACAAAAAGTCCAGGGGCAGAGGTGATCTATTTCATAAATAGGATTGAACAAAACTCTCGAACGGAATTGGACCCCAAAACGAGCAGTTTTTCTTAAATTAAATACCTAAACGAGTATCTGAATCGGGAACTAACGGGTTTAACTTCATTCTCGATTCTAGATGAAGAATTGAATCTCCATAATTTTTAAAAATTTTCGTATAAAATAAGTCAAATTATTTTATTTTTAAAAAAATAAATTTGCTAACTAATTAGTTCAAATCCAAAATATGATTTTCCCATTTCTAATTTCTAACCAAACCCAACTTAATCAAATTAACCTAATTTTTACCTAAGAGCTTGTTTGTTTCCCATTTTCATCGTAAGCATGTATTTTGAAATAGTTGATTGATAAAGAATGTGTGGTTAAGAAATAAGAAAAAGTTTTAATTTTACGTATAATATTATTTTATTAAAAAATATGTGGTTGAAAATAAAAGAAAAAAATGTATTTTGGAAAAAATAGATATCAAAAAAGGGCTAAATCTCTTACTCTACTGTTTCTACTATTCTGGAGAAATCGAACTGAAAGTTTAACTGCTCCTCTCTTTATTATTATGAGCTTGCTATCTTTCTTGTGATTTTAACAGTCAAATTTATGAAAAACTCAAGCAAGAGAGGCGCAAAAGATATCATGGAATTGAACTACGTTATTTTGTAAAAGTTTAGATTGAACATTGAACGGGTGAATTGATGTAGCATTGTTGTAAATATGGAAAAATTAATTATTGTACGAAAACTCTAGAATCGAACCGAGATTGAACTGAACCGAACTCAAACGGCTTCATAATTAAATTTAGATTTGACGATTTCACTCACTACGTAACCGAAAATTCGGGTTTGGTTCGATTCGATTTTGAAAAGAATCAGAACATAACCATTTCAGAACCAAACCAAACTATGTCCAACAGAAATATACAAATGGCTAAACGGTAAATTTATCAAAAAATTTCAGAACCGAGTCAAATTATGTCCAACCCTATTTAGAAATATACAAATGGCTAAATAGTAAATTTATCAAACATTGATGAAGATCGGTAATGTTTATGCCTCTAAACAATGTAATGAAATATATCAAAATAAGTGATCTTTACCAGTTATTAATTAATCCATGTCTATGAGATTGAACTCAATCAAAATTATATGATGACTAACCAATGAACTTTAAAAATCAATTCGTGGTAAACATTGTGTGAACAGTGGTATTAAACAGGAACTTAATTAAGCCCCTGTTTGCCACTAATTATTTTACATTCTATCACATTATTTTTCATACAGTAATCATTTTTAATCACACATTTTTCATTAAAATAATATTACACACAAATCAAAAATAAATATTTTTTAACCGCACATTTTTCATCAATTTGTTATTCCATAATATATTTTTCAAAATTAAAGGGGCTCAAACACACCTTGGATTCCTCATTTCTCATCTTGCTATGTAACAAGAAGAGAAGTTGATGTGCCCCCGGGGCACAGCTTAACTAGTGGATCAATCAACATTGTCTTGCTTCCAGCGGCAGAGTGAAGAGTTCGATTCCTGGTGAGAACCTGCGGCCAAAAATTTGGTATGGAGCAATCACTGTGGAGGAGGGTCTCTTGTGCGCAGAAGTGTACAGGCAATGGGGGGAACCTGTGATCCAATTGAGGCATAACTCTCAATTCACCCCCTCCAAGGTTCTAGGGGCAAGGGTTTTGAGGGTTCAAGATTTAGTCTGGTGTAAGTTGAAATACCTGGATATCAAAAAAAAAAAAAAAAAAACAGAGAAGTTGATGTGACCAACTCCCAATTTTGTTCTAACAAAAATATATAGAAATGAAATTTGAGAAAAAGTACATGTGGATGTGTAGAGAGTGTTGTTGCAACGACAGTTTCTCAAGTCGTGATAGGGTTCACCTCAAAATCTTGTTTCGCACTTCTTTTAAATAATAGTCGCTATCACATGCGTTGCACGAATTTTGTATTTATTTTATTTTTATTAATGTATGAAATTTAAGCCCGTTTGGTACCCATTTTTTTCAAAATGTATTTTTTTCTCTCTTCTTTTCAACTACGCATTCTTTATTAAAATAATATTACACGTAAATCAAAGATTTTTCTTTATTTTTTAACCGCACATTTCCCCTCAATTTACTGTTTTAAAATATATTTTTACATAAAAATGGCTCCTAAACACCCCCTTAATTTTTTTTTTGAAAGTTTTCAAATCAATATCTAAAAATAATTTCATGATATAAAAAAATAATTGTAAATTATTTTTACAATTGCATAGCAATATATTATTTAGAAAAAATATGCTTGTATATTTCATATTTGAATAAGAAATATACAAAATATTTTGCTTGTATTATTTGATAATGTTAATATGATTGAATTGAATGTGAATATTATATTTTTAAATTTCGTGTAATTCAATATTGAAAAATTGAAAAAAAAAAAACACTCCACACAGTACGGAGAGAGTTGAACCAAGTGTGGAGTAAAAATAAAAAAAAAATGTGCGGAGAAAAAAAAACTTCTCCGCACAGTGCGAAGAGAGTTGAACCATGTGCAGAGAGTTGGCAAACTCTTCGCACGGTACGGAGTAAAAAAATATCTTCGCACAGTGCGGAGAGATGACAAACCAACTTTCCACACGGTACGGAGAGCGGAAAAAACTCTCTTCACACAGTGCGAAGAGTTGGTCCGCACCATGAAAACTCTCCGCATAGTGCAGAGAGAAAAAAACTCTCCGTATAGTGAATAGAGTGTTGAACCATGTGCGGAATAAAAAAAAGTGCGGAAAGAAAAAGAATCTCCGCACAGTGCGGAAAGAGTTGAACCATGTGTGGAGAGTTGGCAAACTCTTCACACGATGCTAAGTAAAAAAAAAACTCTCCACACAGTGTGGAGAGTTGTTTTCAAATTTCTTAATTACAAGTCATTCAAGATTATAAATTTTTCGTATATATAACGAAACAAAGTCGAAAAACATGGCTCAAAATCAATTATGTCTTCTTTAAATGTCAGTCATAACTCAATTTCTGAGCATACAAATCATATTTGCGGTATTGAAAATGAGCTTTCTCGTGATTCATACAATGAAACAATATGTGAGTTGTGTAAAGAAGGGGATATTGATAGTACCATGGCATTGGTTTCACAAATGGAGGCATCAGGGTACCATATAAATTCAATATTTTACACTTACTTGATAACAGCTCTTGGACATAAGAAGCGGATACAATTTTTAATGAAATTATACTTTCGGGTTGTAGGCCTTGAATTAAAGTGTTTAATGCATTGCTCAAAAGTTGTTTGAGAAAAAGCTTCTTGGAACTTGCAGATAAAGTCCCGATAGTTTTTGTATTTCTCTTCACACTGTGCGGAGAGATAATTTATCATCTCTCAGCACTTTGCGGAGTCTTTTTTTTTTTACGCTCATGTGCGGATTTTTTTTGTCTCATGGAATTTATATATATTAAAATTATTATTTTTTTTAATATTGTTGGCATTATGCGTGTGTCGAAAAATATTTGTCAATCACCATAAACAAAATTCTCCGCAAAATGCATAATAAATCTTATTACGCT